TTCCTAATGCCTTTTGGGATAGAAAACAACATATGATAGAATTACCTTATGAAAAAGATTTTAATGAGAAAAATATTCCAACAAAAGCTAGACCAATACAAATGAATTCTGAGTTATTAGAATTTTGTAAAAAAGAAATAAAAATATTAATAAATAAAGGATTAATAACACCTTCAAAATCACCATGGAGCTGTGCTGCATTTTATGTTATGAATCAAGCTGAAAAAGAAAGAGAAGTTCCAAGATTAGTAATAAATTATAAACCTTTAAATAAAGTAAAACAATGGATTAGATACCCTATTCCTAATAAAAAAGATTTGCTTAATAGATTATTTAATGCAAAAATCTTTTCAAAATTTGACTTAAAATCAGGATATCGGCGAATAGATCAGAGATAATTTTAGCTTTCATCTAAAAACTCCTACCTACTCTCAAACCTACTCCTACCTACTCCAACCTACCTCTGTATTCTAGCTATTGTCAAGTGTATTCAATAAGAAATCAAGAAGTCTTCATTTCTCAAAAGCTTCCGTTGTCTACTCAATATTATCTGTAAGTCCAAATCTTTAAGTTAATTACAAGTATATATTTCCTTAGTTTTATGCTTATCAAAAGTTTTATATTGCCTGGGTATTTGATAAGCATAAAACTAAGGAAATATATACTTGTAATTAACTTAAAGATTTGGACTTACAGATAATATTGAGTAGACAACGGAAGCTTTTGAGAAATGAAGACTTCTTGATTTCTTATTGAATACACTTGACAATAGCTAGAATACAGAGGTAGGTTGGAGTAGGTAGGAGTAGGTTTGAGAGTAGGTAGGAGTTTTTAGATGAAAGCTAAAATTATAACAAAAATAATTGGAAGATGGTAAGTTCAAAAAATTATTATTCTAGACCAAGTCCTCCGGATATTCAATACGAAAAAAGATCAAAATTTAGAACTACTAAATATGATGGAGATTCAATATATGAATGGAATATAGATGGAAAAGCTGCTTGTACTCCAACTTCTTCTCAAATTAGACCAATTCAACAACTACCAAAATCCCCAGAAAAATCCATAGAAAATACCTATTTTACAAAGCCATTTACTCAACATATTACTTTAACCAAATTCCAAGAAGTACCTTTGTATTCTACACTCAATCAAATTACTCAAAGAATCTTTCCTCCAAAATGTTTTTGGCAACCAGATGATCCCTCCAAAAATCTGGATTATTATGAATTGATTCTTACAGATACTCAATCTGTAGAAATATTCCCCATTCCAGACAGAAAAAATCCAAATATAATTAGCCACTCAAAATGTATAATAAAGAAAGTTTGTTCTCCAAATAAATGGACTTCTCTTTATTCTAAAAAATCCTTTTCAGTAAGATTCATTCCAGATGGATTCACATATCAAGATTACAAAATGGCATGGTATCGTGCCTTCAGAATTTCCAATTTGGTTCAATCACTGGTGGAAATGATTTTTTCTTGTTGTAATTGTTTTACTTGTATTTTAAGATTATTAATTTCTGATTGAAGATCTTTAGTAGTTTCCTTTTTCATTATATTTATATTAGGATATTTGTCTATTAATTTAGAAATACTAAAAGGTTCTATTATCTTAGGCATTTTGTCTTCTTGAATAATTAAGCTTTTTAATCTTTCTAAATATTCTTTTTTAGCTATTGGAAATTCTCTGCTGCAATTTTCTTTGAATGTGAAGAACCATGAGTGATTGAATGGTCTAAAAAGAAAATTTTGAAGGAAACTCATCGGTCCAAGTATACGATCTATCTAGGTAGTAGTAAGATGTATCAGGATTTAAGATGGCTATATTGGTAGGATAATATGAAAAAGGAAATTACTCAATATGTTCAAACTTGTCTCATCAGTCAATAAGTTAAAACTGAACATCAAAAACCCTCTGGTTTGTTACAACCCCTCGAGATACCTTAATGGAAGTGGAAAAACATCACGATGGACTTTGTCTCAGGCTTGTCACGGACGCAAAGAAGTCATGATACCATTTGGGTAATCGTCGACCGGTTAACCAAATCGGTCCATTTTTTACCCGTGAATATGAAGTATTCTATGAAAAAGTTGGTCCAACTGTATATGGATGAAATTATGAGATTACATGTGTGAGAACCCTGAAAATAGACATATAAATATCAGTGCATATTTATTTGCATTTTAATTCCTTAATAAATTTTAGCACGAAGTCCAATTGTTTTTAAATAAGTATGTGGAATTAAACGTTATGTGCAAAATAAAAGAATTGTGCTAAACTACTAAACTTCTTAGTTTTGTTACATTAACTTCATATTTCGAAGGTAAACTATTTCATTGATCTAATAATTAATTTCTTTGAATTCTAGTGTTGTAACTAATGGTTTTGAAATAAAGGTGTAAAGACAATTTCTATGTAATAAATAATATAATTGTGCCCAATATTGAATTATTCGGTTTTGCTACTAAATTAATATTTCTTGAGTTAGATTAATTTATCGCCTTAAAATAAAATACTAAAATACATAGTTTTCTTAATGTTGAAAATTAATGTTACCTGAGCAGATTAAGTATATAAAATTTCTTGAATTCCTATAACTAATTCTAAATTAGTGAATAACGTTAAATACTAATAAGGATGTTCACTATAAGACAAAGCCTATAAATTTTAGATAAACATGATACTAGTATACTAAACATAATTAAGGTGTGAAAAATTCGATAATTAAAGCCTTGCAAGATTAGCATATTATTAGGCGTTCAAATCACTCTTGAGGATAAATCTTAGAAATTTAAGTTGAGATTAGGAAACAAAGTGAAAAGACTAAAAGACCCTTACAATTCCATGCGAAACCAAACGACCCCTATGACAAAATTCCCATCACCGCAACTTCGACCAATTACATTTTAACCAATTCGATACGCAAACCTTTCGTAAACCGCGGCACCACAAAACCACTTGATCAGATTCACACTACATCTCACAACCATTTCAGCCGACTCTTTCTCTGCACAAGCCAAACCCGCAATCCATTGCACTCCAAATACCACGATACCAACCACTCTACTCTTTCATTTTTGATTCACAACAAAACCTTATTTGTTCCCTGCCTTGTCCGAGAGCATCCGAGAGAGTGAGAGAGCTGCTGGAAATTTTTGGTCCTGCCGTGAGTAGAGCAAAGCCAGGAAGGAGAATCTGCAGGAAGCTACACCATCTCACCTTCATCCGCAACCCAATTCCAGCCGCAACTCAAACCAGGACCACGTCTGAACTTGGCCGAGAGTGAGGGAAGACATTTCTGGAAAATTCGTGTGAGGGTTTAGCTACTAGCTGAGGTAATTTCTGAACTAAATAAGTTAATTGCTAGTGAATGAAGCCATATCAGAGGTAGATTAAGTTAACCGTGGTCTTGCATGTGTTAATTTGTGCCATCGGATGTTGAAATCAAAGCTGTGGAAAATTCTGTTTCGGCTAGATGGTTCTGCCGAGGAGCTGAGCTGATAGTGCAGCTTTATTTCTGTTTTTCTGGGACAATCTGAGCACCCAAGTGTACTTAGCTGAATGAAAACTGGATGATTAAGACCATGCATGTTGATTGTGCTTTCGGATGATAATGGTAAAGCTTAAGAAAATTCTGTTTTAAGAGGAAAATGTCTTAGCCGAGAAGATGATTGGAAGGGCAGCTTTAATGTGTTTTTCTGAAGTGATTTGAGCTAAAATGGTGATTAATTAACTGGAATTTGGATGATTATTGTGATTAGGGCCTTGCATGATCATTTTATATAGTTGGATGATGAAATCAAATTGTTAGAAATTCTGTTTTGTTGAGAATGATTCTGCCGAGAGAATGGTTTGGAAATGCAACTGAAATTCTGTTTTTCTTGTGATAACCTGAGCACTCAAGTGGAATTAGCCGAGTAGAACTTAATGTTTATGATGTCTAGGACCCTGCATGTTAATTCGATGAAGTTGATTGATGAATTAAGGAACCTAAGAAATTCTGGTTTAATGAAAACCTTCTGTCGAGACTAATTAAGAAATGATTTGCTTAACTTGCTTAAATAGGACAAGCTGTGGTTACAATCCTAACTCTCCAAGTGAAGACAAAATGCTTAAGGGCCTGCATGTTGAGTTACACGATTGGACAATGAAACTAGGAACTTGGAAAATAAAATGAAAGCCAAAAAAATTGGTTCATGAATGATCATTCGAGAATAGTTGGTAAAATTTCTGGATTTGTGTTAGATGAGTATAATCGTAGCTTGAACCTGGATTTGATTTGAAAACCTTTACTAGCTAGCTAAGTGTTTACATGTCCTAATAGACTACCAAAGATTCTGTTTTAACCAAAGAAAATCCTGTTTTAGAACCATTGTTATTGCCAGAAATTTTGAGAAAGAGCCGTGAGATTTAAACCTGGAAATTTTGGGGTTTGTAATCCTGGTTTAATTTCAACTCCTGGTCTGGAAATGTGCATCGTTTTGCTAAGAGATTGCATGAGGAAGCTGAGAGTTTTAAAGCATATTTTAGCCCAGAAAAATAAAATGATTACAGAACATTTCTTCATGCATGTTCATCCGTGGCTAATGGACAAAATTTCTGGATTTTTCTGGATGATTTTAGTTGCCGAATGAATCTAGTTTTGAAGTGGACTGTTTTGCATGAATGATTTGTTTCATTGTGAAACTAAACTTGAATTCGGATTGAGCTTTTATCTTACTAGTGGTTCAAATTCTTGACTGAATTATGGTTGGAAGTGAATTGTTGAAATTTATTTTTCCTTGAGAAAACAATGTGTTAGAATTGTTGACAGTGGGCTCTATGAATTCCCACCCTGCATGGATAACTGAATTGCTGAAATTGTTTAGAAATCTGTGCTACTATTTTGTGAAACTGTGAGTTGATATAAGTACTGATTACCAAGTGCTAAGTATTGACGAAGCCTTGGTAAATTTTCCTGCTTATGCTTAGATATAAATTTGTTGGAACACAGGGCTAAGAATTGACGAGCCCTAGTGTTATTACTGTTTAAATTCTAATTGTGCAATATTGAGGAAATGTGATTTTTGGATTGGAATCGAAAACGTGAGAAGTCGTACCGACCTTATGAACCCAAGTAAACGCTTGACTAAGTAAATGGAAAATATTTTGCTTCAAGTTTGGAACGGTACAGATCTAGCATCGTACTACTAAACATAGTATCTACTATTTTTGCCTTAGAAACTTGGGCAACATGACTTTTACCCCTTAAGCTAGACTAGCCTTATTAATTTGGGAAAATGATTTCCCCGGACTCAAAACCTTAGTTTGATTCAAATTCCTTCCTTATAAATCGTTTAAGGCTAGTCGGAACTAAGGAAATTTAAAAGGTGAAACTCGATCCCTTTGGTTTTAAGCGTAGAAACCTGCTCGGCAAGAAAAACCTTATTTTAGCAACATTTTTCAATAAACCTTACCCTAAAGCCTTAGCAAAGATTTTTGTAGGTACAACCACTCCAATGAACTTTTTCCAAGGTATATTTTTTTAGCCCTGATATTAAATATCTTGCCGACTTATTTTAAGAAAATAATAATAGTATTTTCTTCGAAGAAAAAGTATTCCAGGAATGGTATAAGAAATATTGTACGGTTCTCATAAGCTCGATTCCAAGTAAAATATTTTGAGAAAAAGTAAACTAGCATCATGCTAGAAAACTCTACATGTACAAGCCAAAAGTTCCAATAGAAAACTTATGGCTTAAATTCTGATATTCTAGGATTTTACGAGGACGCGGAACTCGATCCTCAATCCAATATCTGAACTCCACTCTTGGTGAGTGTCCCTGCTTGTTCTATGTTATGTGGTTAAGCGCTTTATCAATTCGCTATGTGATAATTGTCAAAATACAATAAATGATTTTGATCCATCGAAGTGAGCAGTGTGTACTTTATCGCACTAGCCGTTCGAGTGGTGATGTGTGTGAAATATTTTCTATGAATCTAAATGTAGTTACGTTGTTGGGTGAATCCCTCGACGCATGAATCTGACTACTATGAATCTAAATGTAGTTACGTTGTTGGGTGAATCCCTCGACGCATGAATCTGACTACTATGAACCTAAATGTAGTTACGTTGTTGGGTGAATCCCTCGACGCATGAATCAAACTACAATTACGTCGTTGGGTGAATCCCTCGACAAATTTATTACGGGTATATCTCGAGTATACTGCGTCGGTAGAGGAAGTTTGGGCCCAAAGCAGAGGTATGAATGGTGACGGGTTAGGATTAAAATAAGTGGATCTACATGGATTATAAGTAGTGAAAGTTGACGGAGGGTCAACTACGATAGTATCTAATCAAGCGTGGAAATTGGCTCCTGAGAGCCCTGTATCCTACCCTGTGTTGTTACTCGCTTTCCTACTTGTTTAATGCTGCAAATTTCTACCTGTTAAATGTTTATTTGGATGCATGTTTTGGGGCACCACTGAGTTTCGGCTCACCCCACGTTTATTTGTTTTCCTTACAGGTTTTGAGGCTTGAGAAGTTGGATGCTGTTTTTATTTGGTTATACGTGTGTTTGGACAATGTGGTTTTTAAGAATTGTAAATTTCAGTTTGTAACGTGTAATCCTGCTTGCGTACTTTCGCCTTGTGTTACCACTTGAAGCTGGAAAATGTGTGGCTCTCGTGGTGACCTATGGCTGGGGTATTTTTATGTTTCCGCTGTTTGGGTTTTTGTACGTTAGGATTGTACGACTTTGTTCTTGTAAAGCGCGTGAACGATAGTTTTAAGAGCCGTCGAAGGGCTGACTTATGTCACTGCTATCCCTGAAGTTACTGTGGAGTTATAAAGTTTTACTTGGAAGATTTGCTGATGCAATAGATTAGACTTTTCTTCGGAGGAATTCAGGTTTGAAATGCGTGCTTGAGTCCTGGCGAGAGCTGGGCAGACGATCCGCCAACCCTTTGGTTCGCCTCAGGGGAAGGTGGGGTCGCCACAGGTGGTATCAGAGCTCTTATCGAGCTCAAACCGGGAAAAGGTTCTCGGACCGTGGGGAAATGGCCTATTAAGTGTTGAACTAATTGCTATTGCTAAAGGAATTAGATATGTACGTTGGGTAGAAATCTTAAATATAGGTGATTCATGCTTGGGACTGGCCAGCTTGAGTTGTGAATCATCTCATTTTCGGATTCTTGTACCCGAGTACGAAATATTTCATTTAATAGAGTTTTGCAATTGAAAAGAATCCAGTATACTGCATTACGATGTGACTAGAAACCATGATTAAGTTTGGAAAGGAAGAATTAAAGAGACCAAGGTTAGCTTTTGAAAGTTAAAAGTGAAAAGGCTTTATTGGTGGCCTTACTAGCCTTTATGATAGTAAATGAACTTTTTACCATCCCTTATCCTAACATGTGGCTTTAGACCTAGAATCTGAGTGAAACGGCAGTTTAAGTAAGGGCTACGCAGTTGTGAGTGGCTTTAGACCTGGGGAAGGGATAAGTTTGATGAATTTATCATGTGGTTAGTATGCTACCATTTGCAAATAACTAAAGGTGAGTTCTAGATGACATTGTGGTCTTTAAGTTTTATTGAAAGATTATTGGGGCAAATGTTTGAAAGGATAAAGATAATTAGTTGTTAGGATAGTAGAAAAGCCAATGTATGAAATGTTTGAGATCTTTTAGATTACTTAAGAACCACTGATGTACTTAAGAAAGGATCATATTATTTGATTCGATATTAGACGGAGTAGATCTACAATCCACTAAGAAAATTTGATTAGTGTTACTAAGGGAATCCAGTGGGATTGTCCAAGACTAAACTAATGAAGGTTAAGTTGAATCTACACTAAAAGTTGAGCTATTTGCTATGTGATTATAATAATTTGTGTATTGTTGTATTGTTTCCTTTCATGCTTATGATGATTGAAGTTTGAGTTATGTATGAAAATATTGAATGTATTCGTGAATTATCTAGCTTTTGAAGTTGTGTGAATTTGGTATGCAATGTGACTTATATTGTGAAGTATATAATTTGATGATTACGTGTTTCATTTTTTTTGTAGCGCTGCAATATTTATTAGCCCCGGGAATTGAATAATTACTAACCTGAGTGAAATTTTGGTAACCAAAGTGGTGTATAGAACTATGAGATTAAGAAAAAAATAAATAAATAAATAATAATAAACTGAACTTTTGTGAATAAAGGTAGGAATTTCAAGGATTTACCAACCCTATTATGGATAGAAATCAATAGGATGGGATGTTGGAGTTGGAACTTTGCCATGTTTGGATATTGAATGCACTTAAAAAAAAAAAGAAAAAAAAAAGAGATTTGTTTGATTTCTAATTAGTGTACTTGAGCTTGATATATGTTGTAATTGACTTTGTTCTGTGATGTAATTAAATTGATCATGGTTTTGCTGGGTATTAATAATATATATGGAGTGAAATTAACCGCAATCAGATGTATGCATAATTGGTTATACTTATTTTAAATCAACCGTTGTGAGAAATATAAAGCTTAGGGAGCGATAATGTCAGATTGATAATGCTATCTTGGGTGAGAATTTTTAATTGAGTATGACGCGCAGATAAATTGTAAATTCAAGTAGTTGAACTTTTATATACTTTGGGAAGCAGTCGATTCGACACTTAAATTACGGGGAAAACACTAAGACCACAATTTTTCCAAATGTGTATTTAATATCCTGTTATTAGTCAAAAAAGGGGCGTAAAATTTTGAAAGTTGAGCCTTTAAGGATGTTATAATTGTTTCAAGAGCTAATGGTAGACAGACTTCGACAAAGGTGCTATCAATGGGAATTTAGAAGGAAACCGCCCACGTAGTTATCCTATTGACCATATGACTGATACCTTAGAACGGTTGGTGGAATACCAAAGCTCTAGGCCAATCAACTAACCTAGGAACCAAAAGAGTTGCGAAAATAGAGTGACTCTTGAAATTCGTCTATCTAGGTTCCATGGGGAATCTAACCTCAAAATTTTAAGAATGAATCGAAGGAATACAATAAGGCCCTAGTGAGAATAAGAAGTACGACTTTTGTTTCAAACAACTTTGAAGGTAAATATTGAATAGCGCACTAAGACATGAAAATTTTCCTTGGGATAAGGCTTCCTTATTCTGTCGTGATAGTGATTAACGATGGTAATCTCGGTTATACTTAAGAACTCGCTGGATTAGGCAGGAAGTAGTAAGGTTTATATTTTGGAGTAACCATTCGTAAAAAGATGAAAGAGCATTACGGCTCGAGCTTCCAGTATGAATAGTTGCTTACCTTGATCCTATGATTTGTCTGGCAGGCTAGCTATTTGACTTAAGCCAACTAGTAAGATGACAACTTTGGAAGAAATGCGTAAGGAAATAGACATCCTCCGAAATGAGGTAGAATTTCAAAGGAAATTGGCTGACTACTGGGAAGGACGATGGAAACAAGAATATGCCGAGAAAATTGAGCTACTACGCCAGAATGTAGAACCACAGAAGAAACATAAGAAAAATCCCGGAAATGTCCAGGCCGCCACTTTTCGAGCAAATTGTGGGTATTGTAGAAAAGCTGGTCATACCGAGAAGGAATGCTGGAAAAAGGGAGGAAAGAGCTTGAAGTGCGGTAGTACCCAGCACAAGAGTTCGGAATGCCTTAGAGCATTTAAAAAGAGGAAGTACTCAGCAGACAACTAAGTCCGCTACAGAGCGATTAAGTGCCAGATGGAAGTAATTCGTGTTAACGACCATGAACGGGGTCCTAGTAGTGAACGTTTCACAAATCAAGAGGGTTTGACCTCACTCGAGGAATAGAGGTTATAGTTACCCTAAACTAGAATAGCACTTTTGGAGATTGTAATCTTCTGCTATAAATTATATGTACGCTACGAATTGTATGTACACTATAAATATCCTTTATTTTAGTTACTTTGCTATTAGAAATATTCTAGAATAGTGTAATATATATATATGAATCAAATATACACGATAGGTATATTGTAAATTGAGCAATTTGAATACATTATACAGTTGAATAAATTACCTGAGTAATTAATTCTCCTTAAAGCCAAACGTGTGGAAACCTACTAATTGATATAAGCAAAATTTTTCGAGGTACACATAAATTAGAACCAACGAAATTTTGAGGCAACGCATGAGACAATAAAAAAAAAATATAAGTATGGCCTTGTAGCAAATAAATGATCTAAAACTAAACGACCGCACTAATCTTGGGAACTAGAAGAAGAGATGCAACAAGTAACTCAACCTATCTCTTGAGAAAGTAAGAATTTTGAGGACAAAATTCATTTTAAGGAGGGGAGGATGTGAGAACCCTGAAAATAGACATATAAATATCAGTGCATATTTATTTGCATTTTAATTCCTTAATAAATTTTAGCACGAAGTCCAATTGTTTTTAAATAAGTATGTGGAATTAAACGTTATGTGCAAAATAAAAGAATTGTGCTAAACTACTAAACTTCTTAGTTTTGTTACATTAACTTCATATTTCGAAGGTAAACTATTTCATTGATCTAATAATTAATTTCTTTGAATTCTAGTGTTGTAACTAATGGTTTTGAAATAAAGGTGTAAAGACAATTTCTATGTAATAAATAATATAATTGTGCCCAATATTGAATTATTCGGTTTTGCTACTAAATTAATATTTCTTGAGTTAGATTAATTTATCGCCTTAAAATAAAATACTAAAATACATAGTTTTCTTAATGTTGAAAATTAATGTTACCTGAGCAGATTAAGTATATAAAATTTCTTGAATTCCTATAACTAATTCTAAATTAGTGAATAACGTTAAATACTAATAAGGATGTTCACTATAAGACAAAGCCTATAAATTTTAGATAAACATGATACTAGTATACTAAACATAATTAAGGTGTGAAAAATTCGATAATTAAAGCCTTGCAAGATTAGCATATTATTAGGCGTTCAAATCACTCTTGAGGATAAATCTTAGAAATTTAAGTTGAGATTAGGAAACAAAGTGAAAAGACTAAAAGACCCTTACAATTCCATGCGAAACCAAACGACCCCTATGACAAAATTCCCATCACCGCAACTTCGACCAATTACATTTTAACCAATTCGATACGCAAACCTTTCGTAAACCGCGGCACCACAAAACCACTTGATCAGATTCACACTACATCTCACAACCATTTCAGCCGACTCTTTCTCTGCACAAGCCAAACCCGCAATCCATTGCACTCCAAATACCACGATACCAACCACTCTACTCTTTCATTTTTGATTCACAACAAAACCTCATTTGTTCCCTGCCTTGTCCGAGAGCATCCGAGAGAGTGAGAGAGCTGCTGGAAATTTTTGGTCCTGCCGTGAGTAGAGCAAAGCCAGGAAGGAGAATCTGCAGGAAGCTACACCATCTCACCTTCATCCGCAACCCAATTCCAGCCGCAACTCAAACCAGGACCACGTCTGAACTTGGCCGAGAGTGAGGGAAGACATTTCTGGAAAATTCGTGTGAGGGTTTAGCTACTAGCTGAGGTAATTTCTGAACTAAATAAGTTAATTGCTAGTGAATGAAGCCATATCAGAGGTAGATTAAGCTAACCGTGGTCTTGCATGTGTTAATTTGTGCCATCGGATGTTGAAATCAAAGCTGTGGAAAATTCTGTTTCGGCTAGATGGTTCTGCCGAGGAGCTGAGCTGATAGTGCAGCTTTATTTCTGTTTTTCTGGGACAATCTGAGCACCCAAGTGTACTTAGCTGAATGAAAACTGGATGATTAAGACCATGCATGTTGATTGTGCTTTCGGATGATAATGGTAAAGCTTAAGAAAATTCTGTTTTAAGAGGAAAATGTCTTAGCCGAGAAGATGATTGGAAGGGCAGCTTTAATGTGTTTTTCTGAAGTGATTTGAGCTGAAATGGTGATTAATTAACTGGAATTTGGATGATTATTGTGATTAGGGCCTTGCATGATCATTTTATATAGTTGGATGATGAAATCAAATTGTTAGAAATTCTGTTTTGTTGAGAATGATTCTGCCGAGAGAATGGTTTGGAAATGCAACTGAAATTCTGTTTTTCTTGTGATAACCTGAGCACTCAAGTGGAATTAGCCGAGTAGAACTTAATGTTTATGATGTCTAGGACCCTGCATGTTAATTCGATGAAGTTGATTGATGAATTAAGGAACCTAAGAAATTCTGGTTTAATGAAAACCTTCTGTCGAGACTAATTAAGAAATGATTTGCTTAACTTGCTTAAATAGGACAAGCTGTGGTTACAATCCTAACTCTCCAAGTGAAGACAAAATGCTTAAGGGCCTGCATGTTGAGTTACACGATTGGACAATGAAACTAGGAACTTGGAAAATAAAATGAAAGCCAAAAAAATTGGTTCATGAATGATCATTCGAGAATAGTTGGTAAAATTTCTGGATTTGTGTTAGATGAGTATAATCGTAGCTTGAACCTGGATTTGATTTGAAAACCTTTACTAGCTAGCTAAGTGTTTACATGTCCTAATAGACTACCAAAGATTCTGTTTTAACCAAAGAAAATCCTGTTTTAGAACCATTGTTATTGCCAGAAATTTTGAGAAAGAGCCGTGAGATTTAAACCTGGAAATTTTGGGGTTTGTAATCCTGGTTTAATTTCAACTCCTGGTCTGGAAATGTGCATCGTTTTGCTAAGAGATTGCATGAGGAAGCTGAGAGTTTTAAAGCATATTTTAGCCCAGAAAAATAAAATGATTACAGAACATTTCTTCATGCATGTTCATCCGTGGCTAATGGACAAAATTTCTGGATTTTTCTGGATGATTTTAGTTGCCGAATGAATCTAGTTTTGAAGTGGACTGTTTTGCATGAATGATTTGTTTCATTGTGAAACTAAACTTGAATTCGGATTGAGCTTTTATCTTACTAGTGGTTCAAATTCTTGACTGAATTATGGTTGGAAGTGAATTGTTGAAATTTATTTTTCCTTGAGAAAACAATGTGTTAGAATTGTTGACAGTGGGCTCTATGAATTCCCACCCTGCATGGATAACTGAATTGCTGAAATTGTTTAGAAATCTGTGCTACTATTTTGTGAAACTGTGAGTTGATATAAGTACTGATTACCAAGTGCTAAGTATTGACGAAGCCTTGGTAAATTTTCCTGCTTATGCTTAGATATAAATTTGTTGGAACACAGGGCTAAGAATTGACGAGCCCTAGTGTTATTACTGTTTAAATTCTAATTGTGCAATATTGAGGAAATGTGATTTTTGGATTGGAATCGAAAACGTGAGAAGTCGTACCGACCTTATGAACCCAAGTAAACGCTTGACTAAGTAAATGGAAAATATTTTGCTTCAAGTTTGGAACGGTACAGATCTAGCATCGTACTACTAAACATAGTATCTACTATTTTTGCCTTAGAAACTTGGGCAACATGACTTTTACCCCTTAAGCTAGACTAGCCTTATTAATTTGGGAAAATGATTTCCCCGGACTCAAAACCTTAGTTTGATTCAAATTCCTTCCTTATAAATCGTTTAAGGCTAGTCGGAACTAAGGAAATTTAAAAGGTGAAACTCGATCCCTTTGGTTTTAAGCGTAGAAACCTGCTCGGCAAGAAAAACCTTATTTTAGCAACATTTTTCAATAAACCTTACCCTAAAGCCTTAGCAAAGATTTTTGTAGGCACAACCACTCCAATGAACTTTTTCCAAGGTATATTTTTTTAGCCCTGATATTAAATATCTTGCCGACTTATTTTAAAAAAATAATAATAGTATTTTCTTCGAAGAAAAAGTATTCCAGGAATGGTATAAGAAATATTGTACGGTTCTCATAAGCTCGATTCCAAGTAAAATATTTTGAGAAAAAGTAAACTAGCATCATGCTAGAAAACTCTACATGTACAAGCCAAAAGTTCCAATAGAAAACTTATGGCTTAAATTCTGATATTCTAGGATTTTACGAGGACGCGGAACTCGATCCTCAATCCAATATCTGAACTCCACTCTTGGTGAGTGTCCCTGCTTGTTCTATGTTATGTGGTTAAGCGCTTTATCAATTCGCTATGTGATAATTGTCAAAATACAATAAATGATTTTGATCCATCGAAGTGAGCAGTGTGTACTTTATCGCACTAGCCGTTCGAGTGGTGATGTGTGTGAAATATTTTCTATGAATCTAAATGTAGTTACGTTGTTGGGTGAATCCCTCGACGCATGAATCTGACTACTATGAACCTAAATGTAGTTACGTTGTTGGGTGAATCCCTCGACGCATGAATCAAACTACAATTACGTCGTTGGGTGAATCCCTCGACAAATTTATTACGGGTATATCTCGAGTATACTGCGTCGGTAGAGGAAGTTTGGGCCCAAAGCAGAGGTATGAATGGTGACGGGTTAGGATTAAAATAAGTGGATCTACATGGATTATAAGTAGTGAAAGTTGACGGAGGGTCAACTACGATAGTATCTAATCAAGCGTGGAAATTGGCTCCTGAGAGCCCTGTATCCTACCCTGTGTTGTTACTCGCTTTCCTACTTGTTTAATGCTGCAAATTTCTACCTGTTAAATGTTTATTTGGATGCATGTTTTGGGGCACCACTGAGTTTCGGCTCACCCCACGTTTATTTGTTTTCCTTACAGGTTTTGAGGCTTGAGAAGTTGGATGCTGTTTTTATTTGGTTATACGTGTGTTTGGACAATGTGGTTTTTAAGAATTGTAAATTTCAGTTTGTAACGTGTAATCCTGCTTGCGTACTTTCGCCTTGTGTTACCACTTGAAGCTGGAAAATGTGTGGCTCTCGTGGTGACCTATGGCTGGGGTATTTTTATGTTTCCGCTGTTTGGGTTTTTGTACGTTAGGATTGTACGACTTTGTTCTTGTAAAGCGCGTGAACGATAGTTTTAAGAGCCGTCGAAGGGCTGACTTATGTCACTGCTATCCCTGAAGTTACTGTGGAGTTATAAAGTTTTACTTGGAAGATTTGCTGATGCAATAGATTAGACTTTTCTTCGGAGGAATTCAGGTTTGAAATGCGTGCTTGAGTCCTGGCGAGAGCTGGGCAGACGATCCGCCAACCCTTTGGTTCGCCTCAGGGGAAGGTGGGGTCGCCACAACATGAAGTTCCAGTGAATATAGTTTTAGACAGGGATCCCCGATTCGTATCTCGGTTTTGATAGAAGTTACAAGAATTCTTAGGGACCAAACTAAATCTTAGTACAACATATCACCCCCAAACCGATGGACAATCGGAGAGAACCATTCAAACCCTCGAGAATATGCTAAGGACGTGTATTTTGAACTTTGGAGGTAGTTGAGGCCAGCACATGACGTTGGTGGAGTTTGCCTACAATAACAGCTACCATTCATCTATTCAAATGGCACCATACGAAGCTATTTACGGAAGAAAGTGCCGATCACTAATTTATTAGGATGAAATAGGAGAAAAGAAAATTTCAGATCCAACAACCGTACCTTGGATGGAGTATGCACATGAAAAGGCCAAATTGATATGTCAATGACTTCAAACAGCTCAAAGTCGACAAAAGAGTTACTCGGATAATCGAAGCAAGGATTTGGAGTTCGAAATTGGAGATCCTGTATTTCATAAGATCACTCTATTGCAAAGTATCACGGCGGGTAAAGGAAAGAAGTTTCAACCAAAATTTGTGGGACCCTTCAAAATTGTCCAACGAGTTGGAAAGGTGGCGTACCGACTCGAACTACCATCGAGTTTATCTAGGATTCATGACGTTTTCTATGTCTCGATACTAAAGAAGTACCATCCTGATCCAACACACATCTTACAACTAGAAAAAACTAATGTTAGGGTTCTAAGGTTTGTGTTTTGGGTTTGAATTCTTAGTTCTAAGGCTGTAAGACGTTTTTTGCATGGTCGCTTCTTTAAATGTTGACAGAGGGTCAACGGCCTTGGATCAAGTAATACAAAATGGAAAATTGGCTCTTGAGAGCCATCCGTATCCTTTTACTTGAATTACTATGTTTAAACTGTGGTGTTTATTTACATATTTATTTGATACTTATATTTGATCGATTAAAGTTGTAATTGTATGATTCTTGACTGGGTGACCTTTTGGTACCTCATTAGGCTAAGGCTCACCCTATTGCCTTTGTTTTCCTTACAGGGGGCGGATTTTGGGAACGTGAATTTTTGGAAAAGAGTTGAGCTAGTTGAGCTTGTTTTTTTTTTTTTTTTGTTTAAGCTCCTCTGTATTAGCAACTTCGTATGTATTTGTATAGGTTTGGATACTCTGACTTGTAATTTAAGTTGAATCATTAGAGACTCCATTGTATATATTAGGGATTGATTAATCGAAGTTAAATTGCACGTTTTAGTATCGAATATGTGAATTTTAGCTTAGTATTCCTGATGAAAGTTGGACAAGCAGTCCGCTAACCTTTAGGGTACGCCCTAAGGGACGGTGGGGCTGTCACATATTATGAGTATTTAGTGTAATTTGAATGATTATATAATAGCTGATTACTGAGTTATGGGATTTGAATTTGAAAAACCATGTTATTTGGCTAGACACGTGGGTCATTGGTTTTGTAGATGTTACTATTGCTTGATGACAAATAATGATTCAAGTGTGGAGGAATTGATAATGGCTAAATATGTGATCTTATGTGTTTCAGATTGTTTTTGAGTCAATTTGTAAGGTTATTTGGTATAAATTATCTATTTTATGTCATTAATTTGCAGCTTAAGTTGATAAATGAATTAGTTGTGATTTTTTCATTTTACTTACAATTCTCTTTGTTTTGTCAGTAAAATATTTGAGCTTGATTGGAAATGAAATGAGCAAGTATTAAAAGTTTGAGAAGCCACAACAATGGCTAAAAAGAAGTGGTGCAAGTCAAGGATGAAGCTTCCAAAAAAGAAAGAGAGAAGCCCTCGAGGGATTCTCTGGGGTTTCTACCAAGGATTATAGGCAGAATATCATTTCACAAAGAATCACAAACTCTGCACAATCCCTAGGAGAATCCCTCGAGGGATTGGTCTGAGGGATTCATGGTAGCTGCTAGTTGCCAACTTGCATAACTTTTCTTCTTTCTTTATCTTTGACAAGACACAAAGGGACAATTTGTACCAACTTTTGGTGAATTTAGGAGCTTCTTTTCTCGACTCTTAGAAAGGAAGAAACACATAATTGAGGAGAGAGATTAGCTCTTGACGAGGAGAATTTTTTCTTCTTGTTCCTCTCTAACTTAGTTTGGTGATAGTTTTAGATCTAGTTTTTCTTTCTCTTGAAGAACTTGAAAAACTCTTGATGTAACAATATATTTTTGATGGCAATGAAGATGATGAACCTTGAAAATCTTGTTTTTTCACTTGAATAAGCATTCCTTTCTCTTTACTCTCTTTGTTGTTTCATTAATACTTAGTTACATTGAACATATGAGTTTAGATGTTAAGTTTAATATGTCTAGCTAAATCTTCCTGTTCTAGGGATAGATGAACTTATTTGTGCCTTGATTATGATTGAATAAAATTGATTATTGCTATGTCTTGTACTTGTTAGTTTACTTATTCTTACTTTAACACTTATGAATACTTCATCACCACTTACAAGCCATGATAGTCGTTGTTAATCTATGAGAATAGTTTACCATGATAGAAATAGAATAAGGTACTTAAGGAGTAGGTATATGAAAGTAGTGGTACATTTAGATAGATGTTTTGGTATTTCTAAATCTACATTAAGTCTTCTTTTTAGATTTCACCACGAGAGTAGGGAAATTATAGTGTTAGCTAAATTCAATTCATTGGTGAGAGCGAGTTCTGATAGATTAAGTAAAATGCATCCTTAGCAAGATAAGAGCATTAGTGGTAATTGACTATTTCATCCATAATTAGGGGAATTTAATAGATTCTTTACAGTAGGTGTGAGAACCCGAAAATTTTCTTATTTTCTAAGCTTTATTTTATTTAATCGCATGCTTTTTCTATATTTGTCTTATTAGGAAAATTTCCTAGATAAATTTTATAAGTAAATATAGTTTTTAAATCATTTTTCTAGTATAAGTTAGTGTATGTTAAATTTGAAACGCGTTATGGACGTGGGACCCGCTAGTGCGGTAAATGTGATATATTTTTGACAACTTGTTAGAGTTTTGTAGTAAGTGATATTATTTTACAAGGTGTTAGGAGACAATTAGAGGTTAGCTAGTTAATTAAGTCTTGGAAGACAAAAGAAATGAGATAAGCTTGAGAGAGCCATGTGTTGCATTTTCATTGGATGGTGGACATTTGACTAGTCTCTCTTCACCTTTACTAAAATAATTTTGACCAAAAACCATCTTCATTTCTAAGCTTCTTGGCCGAGCAACTAGAGAGAAAAGAAGAGAGAAAGCTTCTTCAATTTTCCTACCTTTCTTGCTTGAATCTTGCAAACCTACTGTTTAAATTCCAAATTCCTCCACAAAAGTGAGTTGATAAGCTAGTTTAAGGCCTTTAGTGGAGCCATTTATGAAGAACAAGCTCTAGCCATCTTGTTTCTTGGAGTTGCAAAGGTGAGTTGTCTAGATATCTTCCCTTTCATGATAATAATGATCAATTAAGGGTTTTTAGTGGTGAAGCATGTCATTTTGTGGGTTATTTCATAAGTCATGGTTGAGTTGTCTAATTTTTCTATTAATTGAGGATTTTTCTGTTTTATATAGTATTTTATGGTTTACTCATGGTATGATAGTCTATTATGGTGTAAAATGGAGTTGGTATATGTTGGATATGTTTGGTTGTAGAAAATTTCTGGTTTGGTGAGCAAATTCCAGGTTTAGGGTTCAAATTTGCTGTGTTCTGACCGGATTTATTTGGGCATGCTAGAGACTGAATCAGTCCTTGCCCAAAACATAAAAGTTGTTTGTAATTGAGTTAGCTAGTTACCTGTAAAAGTTCAGGCCAATTGGAGCACTGTAGCCTATGAAATGACTGAAATACCTTGACTGTCCATAAGCCCTGTTTCGCGGCCAGATTTCTATTTTCGTGGGAATTTCTATTTTTGACCCTGAAAGTGCATGATTTGGCTTTGGAGGTCTTCATAAGAAATGTAGGTATATGTCTTGGCTTCGAAACTCCATAAGATACACCTCAATTGGACTTCGGTAGCCTGAGTTATTGTTGTTTAACCATAGTGCGGTTAGCTAACCTGTTTGTGAGATTCTGGTTTCGTATATTGCACTTTTGACATAGCTACACTATGAACTGGACTGAGTAGTCTTCATCAAAGTTATAGCTCTCTGTCTTAGCTTCGAAATGGTATAAATTGCACCTCAATCTGATAAGCGTAACCTTGGTTGTGTTCGTTACACAAAACAACATCAAATCTGTCTTCCTTTCCGGACATTTTCCTAAATTGAATTTGTACTTGTACCACTTTGAGCCTATTGAACGGCTATTGAAATGAAATTATTTTGTGTGTGACTTTGGGATTGATTGAGGAAAAATGAAGCCATGATGGCTGGAAAAGTAAGTAAATTTAGGGGGAATGCTGTCCAATTTTCTAGGCCGTTTGGTTCCTTTAAGTTTGAGTTGGCTTTTGATAGAAATGAAGGGGTTTTGGTTTGTTTGAGCCCTAGGTCTTCATGTTACCTTTTCGTTCCCAAAAATCATGTTTTGCACCCTTGCATTAGTGATTATTTGGCGAGGCATACGACTAGTAGTCGAACCTCACTTGTGCATTCTGTTTACTCGATTTTGGATGTGGAACCTTCAATTGTTTTACATTGGTTCTTTTAGGGTTTCTTGGCGATTAAAGCCACTTTGGCGTGAAAACTTTTGAAGTATCTGTACTTGAACCGGTGAGTGCATCACTCCCCTGAATTATTGCTAAACTGATCTTCTGTACTTGCAAATTGCTATTTGAATGTCTTTCCTGACTGTTTATCTTGTATGAGACGAGGGTGTACTTTATCACACTTGTTCTCTTGCCTGTACTGAACGAACTGGAATCTATTACTT